AGAGAGAGGATTTCATTAGCATTATTAAATAAATGAATGGATTACTTCGAAGGGGATAGTGTGACTTTATGTTATTTATTTTTGATTAGAATTGAATAGAGTCTTTAAATTTATATTCGTATGGTTTTTCATTGTCAAGATTACGGAATTATGTATTTTTTGACACGAGCTTCTCAGATGAGTCTCTTTTTTTTTGTCTTTTCTCTCTCTCGCTGTCTCTCTCTCTCTCTCTCTCTCTCTCTTTCTCTCTACGAGAGGATCTTCTTTCCATTGCTAAAAATTTGCCGACGGTCAACGCGTTTAAAATACGTGACGTGTAGAATGAAAAAAGAAAGAGAGAGAAAATTATAATTTATCTCCATAATGAATTTCGACAAGTTCAGTAAAGAAATAAGAGACAATAAATTATAAGATAATAAAGAAGAAATATATATATATATAATATATATATATATAAATATATATATATATATATATATATATATATATGAGATAACAAATATTGTAGTAATAATAAAATTAATAATTACAGAATAATATAAGAAAAAAAAATGCAAGTGTTAGATATAATATCAGATATTAAATAAGTAGATTGATATAAATAGTTAATAAAGATATGAAATATATATTTATATTTATATATATATATATATATCACATCATAAATAGATTCATAATATGTATAAAAAATATAGATCATTAAAGAGATATTCATGATAAAAATAGAAAAATGTCAGTAGATATAAAAGTATACATATATACTTACATACACATACACACACATACATATATATATATATATATAATATTATGCATGTGTGTGTGTATATTGATTTATGATGTATGATATGTGTATACGTTATAGATCATAAATAGATACATGCAAAAATGCATGTAGATCATTATAGTGATATTGATAATAAAGATAAGATATATATATATATATATATATATATATATATATTAAATATCTTATCAGATATATATACATTTTATATAATATATATAACATAAATATATAGATGAAGAGACGAAGAGGGAGAGGAGGAGAGAAAAAAAATGGACAAAGGGAAGAAGAGGCAAAAAAGAAAGACACGAACGTACGAAGCAGACTCGATCGCTGATTCAAAGCATATTCAAATAGGATTCCGCCTCCGCGCCACCCTCGAGGTATAATCTTGAAGAAGGAGATGGCCACCCACGGTTATTTTGCTTTACAAAATCAAGTCAACCCGACTTAATCGATACCTAAACAAGAAAGATAAAAAGATGGGGAGAGAGAGAGAGAGAGAGAGAGAGAGAGAGAGAGAGAGAAAGAGAGAAAGAGAGTGTGAGAAGAAGTTAAAGAAAGATCGATGGATCGATCGATCGAATATCAACATCAATTACATAATACATTCGAATGGTGATCCATCGTGATCCACCGATGAGCCCGACTACTGTGAAGAAGAACACGATCTTATAGAAAATGCTACTAGCATTCCCCGTTCCAATAGTACATCTCGATCGTTTCTTGATCCTGGTTATAGGCTCGGTTCTCGATCTGAGATTCTCGAGGTCACGGTCGCGAGACGTCGCGCGAGCCGAGTCACGTTATCGTATAAAAAAAATCTTCGCCTTTGCCGAATCTCTTTTTTCTTTTTCTTCTTTTTTTTTTTTTCTTTCTTTTTTTTTCTCTTTTTTTCCCTTTTTTCCTCTCTCACTTATCACACGATCTTATATCGATCTTATTTGTTCGATCATCTAAACGTAAAGATCATCTAATTGATTATCTTTATCGATACTCATTTATGTATACGATTTAAAGAAAGAAATTATTTATTTATTTATTTATTATTGTTGTTATTATTATTATTGTTATTATTATCGAGTAAATTTTTATTTTAATTGTCATCATGCCAAACTCTCTCTCTCTCTCTCTCTCTCTCTCATTCTCTCTCTCTCTATCTCAACCTAATTGAAGCCGATCACGTTTTATAATCAATGAATTAGTTATTTCAGAATAATCCCACGAAATGTAAAAATCTAAATAAATATGAAAAGGGCTTATTCATGGACTCCCACTATCGTAGTAAAATATTCAAGAAGAAGAGGAGAAAAAGGAGGATCGATCGATCGATCGATTCTCGATACATTGGTGATAGCCAATTCGATTCTGCGGTCAAGGGCAAGACGATCGTCTCGCGATGAATTAAAGTCCCCGTTAAAGCGTTTAAAGTCCTAGGGTATCGTGAAATTTGATCGATTCGTGAAAGATATCGATCGTTTAAAGAGAAACGAAAATACCGGATTCTCTCGTTGGAATTCTCGCTTTTTTAAAATCGCACGAGCAAGGTTCTAGCTTTTTATTTATATTTTTCTTTTTCTTTTCTTTTCTTTCTTTTTTCATATTTCTTCTTTTTTCTTTTTTTTTTTTTGTTTTCTTTTTTCTCTAAGAGAAGAGACGTTTTTTTTTTTTTTTTTTTTTTGGGAAGAAGATGAGATAAAATGGAAAAGAAAAGGAAAAGGAAAAAGAAAAAGACAAATTTAAGATTCGAAATAAAGAGATTGTCGAAAAGAAAAATGGTATAAACAAAAGAAGGTATCAAAATTCGATACCTTCTCATATCAAATGAACACGTTATTAGAATGAGTAAGCGACGAGAGAGAGAGAAAGAAAGAGAGAGAGAGATAGTCTACGTATAAAAAATAATGTTAGATATTTGAAGCCTGTCATTGGAAACTAATGTATTATATTACGTATCGTCACTAACGCGTGTACTTCCGTGTAAGCTTTCTTCTCTTCCTACATCAGCACACGTATGACGTTTTGAGGAAATGTATGCGCATATTAACAGCCCAGCTTAAATATGATATCGTGTCAACCGAGTTGATATCACGGAATTCGAATGCCATAATATCTATTAGTCATACTGAAATATCAAAAAAAAAAAAAAAATATATATATATATATATATATATATATGTATGTATGTATATATAAGGAGAAGAAAAAAAAAGATAAATAAAAAATTAAAAAATAATAAAATAAAATAGAAAGAAAGGATAAAACTTTTATTATAAAAATATTGAAATATTTTCGAGCGATTAATTAAATCCTTAAAAAATTGAACATATTTAAAAATAAATGAGAAATATATATATATATACCACTCTTTTTTTTATATTTTCTCTTTAAAGAAAATTCACAATTTACATATAAATATACATAACGAGAGAGAGAGACAGAGAGAGAGAGAGAGAGACAGAGAGAGAGAGAGACAGAGAGAGAGAGAGAGAGAGAGACAGAGAGAGAGAGAGAGAAAGAGAGAATCTGTGTTTCGAAATAGCAGTAGTACAGATCGATTATATTCAGACTCGACGGACAAGCAAACCGAGCGAGAAGACTATAGATATAACGCGAAGAACAAAAAGGTCGTCGTCTACGACAGAGAGAGAAAAAAAGATTAAAAAAAAAAAAAAAAAAAAAGAAAGGAAAAAGAAAGAAGAAGAAAAAGAAAAGAAAGAAATAGAAAGCAGATATCGTGGAAGGTGAATAAAAAGGGAAATGGAAAAAACAAAAAAACAAAAAAAAAAAAAAAAAAAAAAAGAAAAGGAGGGAGAAAAGAAATGGGCGGGATGGAAGGGAAAAAGGAAAGAGAGTAGAAGGAAAGAAAAAAATCGAGAGGAGAAGGGAAAAGAAATGAAATGAAAATGAAAGGAAAAGAAATGCCGGGAGAGAAAAGAAATGAGAAGGAAAGAAAATGAAATAAAAAAAAAAAACTTCGTAGGAGAGTTTATCGAACTATCGATCGATTGAATCGACAAACAGTGGAAAAACAGAATTTCATGACTAGGAAAATAGACGGGGAAAAGACAAAAAGACGTTGAGAGGAGTATGAAGTAGAGAAGAAATAGATGAAGAAGTAGCAGAGGACGGATTGGGGAATAGAGGGGAGTAAAAAAAAAAAAAAAAGAAAAAGAAATATAAAAGAAGAAAAAAAGAAAAAAAAAAAGAAAAAAAAAGAAAAAAGATTCTGTTAGATCGGGTTGGTAATCGTAGCTTTGAAGAAGTACAACGATTTCCTGTTTCGATCGGATTCGTCGCGACATTTGCGAATCGTCGACGTTACTTCGTATCTTTTCCAAGAAGATTATGTTGATAGCATTCATTCGCGAATCATTCACAATCCAAAGATGGCCTGGACAGTGGCTTCGCTCGAGACGACGAGGATCGCGAGTCGAGAGGAAAAACAAGCGATGTGAACCAAAGGGGTGGGGGGACAGGGCAGGGGCTGGGGCAGGGGCTGGGGCAGGGGGAGGGGCGAGGGGAGGGGGAGGGGGAGAAGGGAGCATCCAGACGGTCAACTCGAACAAAGGAAACTCGACGTATATATTCGCTAGAATAGATATCAAACAAGATATAGCCTATAAACAGTGTCAAAGTTAAACAGGTGTAAATGCATCAAGTAAATTCGTCTCTCTCTCTCTCTCTCTCTCTCTCTCTCTTTCTCTCTATCTCCCTTCCTCTCTCTCTTTCTCTTCTCAACATACATGCGCAAACGTTTTATGGAGAATACGTGCAACGATTTCCACCTTTTTCCGACTTGTAGTGCAGACGTTGCATCAAGAAAAATGGAATACTTATTTTTTTTTTGTATTTTTTCTTTTTTTTTCCTCTCTCTCTCTCTCTCTTTCTTTCTCTCTTTTTTCTTTTGTTGTACTCTTTATTCCATCACACAAGCAAATGAAAATACGATGTTTTTTTAATCTAATCGCAATAGAATAATCGACGAGGAGGCAATCGATCAAACAAGTGGCAAACATCTGTTTCTATGACCACGTTTATTCTGAACGTTCATGCAGAACGTTGGTGCGTTGTCATATCGACACACTTGGAATAAATTCCTCTTCACGTCTTTCTCTATTTTTTTCTCCTTCTCTCTTCTCTCTTCCTCTTTCTCACTCTCTCTCTCTCTCTCTGTCATTCACTCCCACCCTTCCTTCCCTCTCCCCTTTCTCTCTATCTCTTTTTCTATTTAATCTGTGCACGTTGGCTCCTTTTTATTTCTTTGAATATTTTAATTGAAGAATAAACCAGAGTCATGAGTAATTCAGAAAGGATTGAAATTGAAGATCGTGAAAGTTTGACGATTGTCGACGACGAATTAAAAAATACAGAGAAAGATGAATCGATGATAGTATTAAAGGACGATAAGGTATGAAAAATGTTTAAAATAATAGATACGATTAGTTCGTTGAATTATTATCGATATATTTCTTTATCGTTAATTATTGTATTAATTTAGATCATTGAAGACGAAGAAAATCGTATTGATACGAACGAATCGAAGACCTATCTGATACCTAATTTGATCGAAAGTGAATCTAAGAAAAAAATTATGACGGACGAAAGCGAGAACGATAGTGATTCGGAAGAATATACATTGGTTTTTTATGACAGTGGATCGGACGTTCAAACGGTCATCAATCAGGAAGGAATCATCGAGGACACGTCGAATTCTCTAACGGCACGTGAAAATGCTGATGATCAAAGAAAAATGATTTTGGACGGTTCAAGGATCTTTGAAATAAATGATTCTACGAATGATCCTATTTTAATCGGTGACATTTCAAACGACGTACTTTTACAAGAAAATGACTCGAACGTATTTAATCGTCGAGAAAGTTTTGAGAATCGTTCGAATGATCATTTGAAAGATGACAGTTGTGCCAGTATAGATTTCGGGGAATTGGAAAAATCTTTGAACGTTTTAGAGGTCAACGAAGAAAAAACGTCGATAGATTTTTCGTTTGATTTGGAATTGGATAAAATAATTATGGAGGAAGAGGAACAGGAAGAGGAAGAGGAAGAGGAAGAGAAACAGGAAGAGACACAGGAAGAGGAACAGGAAGAGAAAGGAGACAATTTGAAAAGACAAAACGATCTCGTAGAAGTTGGAAAACGATTGGACAAACTGGCCTCTATACTTTTTGAAAATTCTAACGAATTACGTTTCGAAAGTTTCGAAGATATGCTGTACTACCCCAACACGAAAGACGTTATAAACATAATGAATATGGAAGGGAAAGGTTCTTCCGGTAGCGATAAGTTCACGGAAAAGATCGAAAAAGATTTCTTTTCAGATTTATCGATTGAACGTGTAGACGAGGAAAATACGAAGAAGGAACAGGAAGAATTATTGGAATATTTCGATGCTTTGGAAATAAACGAATCTAATATCGACGAAAGGGAAGAAAAATTCGTTGAATTAACAAATGATAATATTGTAGTAGACATGAAAGAAATTCATGCTAAAAAATTGGCTAAATTATTAGATTCTACACGTTACAAATCCGAGGTGGAGGTTAATGAAATTTTGAAAAAAATCAATGAACAAAAAATGAAGATAGAGAATTTGAAAAACGAGTCATTGAAAGATTTAGCCATTGAATTTAATCGTTTCGAAGAATTGTTGATTGAACAAAAGGCAATTGCCGAAATTGAAGATTACGAATTGATCGACGTAAATACGAAATTGGACGTGGACGAATTAGAAGATAATATTGTTGAAAATCAAAGATCGGTATGGCCGTTCATCGAGATGCCTTTAACGAAAAACGAAGTTACAGAAAATTATAGGATAAAAATGATGGAGAAAGATTTTAAAGATAGGATGATAGACCTGAAAGAAAGGCTGCCCGAAAGTTCGGAAATTTTAAATGAAGGGGATACTGTATCTCATAATGTGAATCTTGAAACTGTAAAGGTAGATGAAAAGATTATTTTGGATAAAACAATTCCGATCGAAATAGAGAAAATAATTGTGAATGATAGCGACGAAAAATCATTGATCGAATTTATTAATGAAAATTTGATTGATAACATTATCAATTCTAAATTAGATTCTATGATTAATGAGAAATTTTCGATAGACGTATCGAGTGATACATTGAAATCAAACGTCGATTATCCCGATAACGATATCACGTTAATAATTAAAAAGGAAGATACTAGTACCGATTATGACGAAAATCATGAAACTGATATAATTAAGGTAACGACCGTAGATCATGAATATAAAAAAGAATCGATAGATGTAAATCGAAATGATATTGATAACAACGATGACATTATAAAAACAAATGTAACATGTAATAAAATATCGGAAGACATTGTTCAAATGGAAATTATTGATGATTTATCATCGTCGAATGAAAATTCACAAGGTCCAACGGATGATAAAACCATTGATAAAGTTGATTCCAACGAATCACTTTTCGCTTATTTAAAGGAAAAAGAGAATAGGCCATACATCAAAGGCAAAGTTTATGATTACGATGAAAAAAAACATGGCGTAAGGTAAAAAGTATTTGTTATACCATAACGATGGATCATTATTTTTTGTTCCCATTCAATATATCAAATTAATAATTACTAGAATGACGGAGCAGTTTATCAAGAAACATTGTAAAGAACATAAGCTTTATCAGACTCCTTGGTTGAACGACGTCTTATATCTACATTACAAAGGTAAATGTAATGAGGATAAACTTGAATTTGTTTCTTTTTTTTTTTTTTTTTTTTTTTGTTTTCTTTTTTTCTTTTTTAATTATTTATTCGAAAGCAAGGCTTCTCGTTTATCGAAAATCTGGAAAAGTACACGGGTTTGAAGACACTTTGGTTGGAGAACAATGGTATTCGTGAAATCGCAAATTTAGAGAATCAAAGTGAACTTAGATGTCTGTATCTTCATCACAATATAATTAGCAAAATTGAAAATTTGGAATACCTGACAAAATTGGACACATTGAACTTGTCCTATAATATGATAACGAAAATTGAAAATCTTGGTAATTCATAAACTCTCATTATTCATATCGATAATGTTACTTTCTTTTTTTCTTTTTTTAAATACTTGCACAATATTTTCAGACAGTCTGAAGTTCTTAAATACGTTGAATTTGTCTTATAATTATTTACAAAGTAGTACGGACATCGAGCATCTCCGATTGTTGGAATATCTATCGATTTTGGATATATCTCATAATCGAATAGATACATTCGATATCGTCGATGTAAGTCGATTGGATTACATTCGATATGAACAATTAATTTTCAATTTTCAATCAAATATTTAAATATAACGTTCGAAGGATTTATTTCAGATTCTCGGTGACATGAAATCTTTAAGAGTAATTACTTTGACCGGTAATCCTGTCTTAAAGAATATCAAAATGTATCGAAAGACGATGATTTTAAAGTGTAAGAATCTTCATTATCTGGACGACAGGCCGGTCTTTCCACGTGATCGTGCTTGTGCCGAAGCATGGTAAAATTAGAACAAATGATAGATGACCAAATATTAGACTGGAGAGTATTTATAATATTTGTTTCTTTTCTTTTCTTTTTTTTCTATTTTTTTATTTTTTTATTTTTTTTTTTTGTTAGGATGCGAGGTGGTCCGAAAGAAGAGGCAGCCGAAAGACAACGATGGATTGAGGCAGAACAGAAGAAGATCAACGATAGTGTTATGGGTTGGTATTAGAAAATAAAAATAAGGTATTAGAAATATTATAATCCTTTATAAATAACTATAGGTTATATAAGTGAAGATGCCTAATAAATAGGTACTATTATAGGATTATAATTCGAATAGATTGATCATTTTTCATACCTTTTTTTTCATGTCATTTTATTATAAAAAAAAAAAAGAAATATATATATATATGCTTAATTTTATTGTCATTTTACTTTAAAAAGAGAAAACGAAAAAAAAAAAATATATATATATATAAATATATGACATACAATAGCAAGATATTATAAGAAAATATTTCCAGCATATACATATATATTTTTTTTAGCCATCGTTATGCACACTCAGTTTATTATCGTTTTATTACAAAAAGAAAGAGAGGAGGGGAAAAAAAGGAAAAAGAAAAGAAAAGAGGAAAAAAAAAAAAAAAGAAAGAAAGAAAAAAAGAAAACATATACTATATTATGTTCTCATTATTTTGCATACTTTTCGTCATTTGATCGCATCAAATTTCTTCGTTTATGAAAATCGTAAAAACGTTTGGAAGGGATAAAAGAGAGGAGAAAGAAAAGAAAAGAAAAGACAAGAAAATAAAAAAGAAAAAGAAAAAGAAAAAAAAAGAAACAAAAAGAAAAGAAAGAAAGAAAGAAAGAAAATGATTTCCCATTTAATGACGATAACTTGTCCAACTGCTTTCACTCATTTAACTTGCATCGATCTTTGTTTACCTCTCAACATGCACACGATCCGCCCTCGAAAGAGTTGATAAACAAAAGAAAGCTTCGCAAACCGGTCGGTAGGCCCGAAAGGGAAGCGGAGATAACTAATAAGAAGAAAACGAATCAACAGGACGACGAAGAAGTCGACAGGGAGAAGTCGCCGATGTGTACGAGCAAGGAACTGGTAAGAACTAGTTTCGTCAAGGTCTGATACAGAATTCGTGCTTCGAATAAGATCATCTTCGCGGTCCACACATCGCGGACTATTGATCATTCACGTTGCGTGAATCTTGTTGCCTGTATGCCCTGTTGCTCTGCCCTGTTCACTCTCCCTCTCTCTCTCCCCCTCTCTCTCTCTCTCTATCTCTCTCTCTATCTCTCTCTCACTCACTCGTTCTCACTCGTTCTTTCTCTCTCTCTCTCTTTCTCTCTGACGAAGCTTAAGCTGGAAGGGAAGAAAAAGTTGAGCGTCTCATCATCTTCGTCTTCTTCTTCGTCCTCATCTTCCCCCACTTATTCCGATGCCGAGCTGGAAAACGACGAAGAAAATAAAAACGGCCGACAAAAAGTAATCGAGGAAAGTGACGGAAACAGGCCATTGGCGGAGGAAGAGAAAAATGCACAACGTAATCTCATCGTACCCTGGAAAACTACTCGGGTAATTTTTGACTTCTTCTTCCTTCTTCTTCTTCTTCTTCTTCTTGTTTAACTTTTCTTTTTTTTTTTTCTTTTTCTCTTTCTTCTTCTTCTTCTTCTTCTATCTTCGACCAATCCAAAACAAATGTCACTATGACAAAGACTTGGAGGGAAATTCTCCCTCTCCTCCCGAAGAGATTTTAGATGAACTAATTGACTCCTTTTCAGGCTAATTTTTCTTTTCTTTTCTTTTCTTCTTTTTTTTTTTAGAGGGGGGGGGAGGGAGGGAGGGAGGTGGGGTAGAGGATTTTTCCTTCCTTTTCTTTTTCTTCCTTTTTTTCTTGGATTGCCAGATTGTAAAGCCGCATAAACTTACGAACTTTTTTTTACTATCGTTGAGAAGAAGAAAATAGAAAAATGAGAAAAAAAGAAAAAAGAAAAAAAGAATAACCAACGCAAAAATAAAAAATTGATCTAAGAATTCTCGAAAAAAGAAATAAATTGATTTGTAAGATCGTTCGGAAATTTTTAATCCAATCTGTATATTTTAATTTGAAATGATATTTATTTTTTTATTAATCTTTTTTTTTCCTTCTTCAAATATTCACTTCGAAGATCATCGATAAAGATCAAAATCGAGAAATGAATTGTGAGGAGGAAGAAACTTTGCGATCGAAGGATTACGTTGCCGGTGATGCTGAGAAAAAGAGATTAGGCAAACAAGTTTTGAATGAACGTAAAAGTCTTGAGGATCCTCTAGGTGGTTACGCTTTGGGTAGAGAGGTCACGGATTATGCGAAAATTATTCTAAAAACAACGGTGGATAAAACGAACGAGGAGCAACAGCCTTGTATATCCGACAAAAAGGAACCTAAACTTGATAATAATGGTAAATTTAATTAACGAACTGTGGTTGTTTTATGCCAATGTACATATTTTTCTTTTTCTTTTCTTCTTTTTTTTTTTTTTTTTATATAAATGAATTTTTATTACGTCTCATTTATATATTTGAACAATCTATTTGTTCCTTTCTATTTTGTATTCTACATATGTATGCATCTTGTTACACATTTCTTTCAAAATATCTCGTTTTTTTTTTTTTTTTTTTCATCAATATATAATTATTATTATCACTTAATTGAATCAGTATTCTCATCAATACTCGATAAATATTTTGTATAATAAATTTTTGAATATATGGAAATATTTTCGGTCAGTATTTATAATAAAATATCGATAAATGATTATATATCACCGATCAATATAAATAATTATGTATTGTGATTGCATTCGGATTTATTATTAATATTGATCAACTATTTATATAAAATATTGACGAATTATTATATTTATAAATATTCGCAGTGAATTTTTTTTGTCTTCAATAATATATACGTTATCATATTTTATTATAAGTATTGACCATTTATTTAAAATATTGATTGGAAATGTTTCAAAATACTAATATTAATAAATAACAGCGTATAAATTATTCGCGAATAGTGTAAAATTGTTTTGTTTAATTTTCTTTTTTTTTTTTCTTTTTTGCAATAATATTAATAATTATTTGAACAAATATTCGCAATATTATTATTACCATATTTCATATTTTATGTATTTAATATGATATTGTTATTTTAGAAAATGAAAATATTCGAGACACGTTACCTGATGACGCTGCTGCTTTTAACGCATCCTACGATGTTTCAAAATATTCCAACGTAGGAAATTATCAAAGAAAAAATAATAAAAATCCATTGACAGAAAAATTAAATAGCATTCGTCAAGGTATGAAAGATTTTTGCACAAACGTCGATAAATTCGTCGAGGAGAACAATATCGTAATCAAAAATGGAAACGTCGAAGGATTTTGGAAAGACGATAATATTAATAAAAACAACGATAATCCATCCGTGAGTGTACAACATCAGTCTGATAACGAGAATGATTCTAATAAAGAAATATTCGAAGGATGTTCTATCGACGAAAATAGTAATACAAAAGTGAAAGAGACATTATCGAATGAATTAATTAACTTGATAGACGAAAATCAAAAAATTGTTGAATTAAATATCGATAAAGATCGGAATAATGATAATGAAAATGATAATAAAAATGATAATAAAAATGATAATAAAAATGATAATAAAAATGATTCGTCAGAATCCGAGAGTGTATATGATTTATTGTCTTTAAAAGTTTCACCTAAAATCTTATTAAATACCGATACAACGAAATCGTCCGACGAGATGAGAGACGAGAACAATAAAAATATTAATTGTATGAAATTAATTTCTACGGAAAATGATAAAATTATTACGATCGAAGATAAAGATTTAACGTTAGAAAAATCTAACGTTTCTTTGGCCGTAAAATGTAAGGAACATTTGATGAAACAGGCTAAGACATTTATTCAAAAGAAATCACCATTGCTCGAGGAATGTATCGATAAATTGATTAACGATAATGAACAAGACGATAATAATCGTAAAAAACGTTGGAATTCTTGGTACAATGATTCCCTTTCTAATCCAAGATCAGTTTTCACTGAAGCTTTCGAGGATTTTTATAAAACAAAATCTCCGATTGATAAAAATATTGGCATGAACGTTGACACGAGAATACGATCGCATTACAGAGATGTTTCAGGTGATATTCCAAAATCTGATCTATGTGCTATTGCCGATCTCGTTAAAAGATCCGAGAACGATGGAAGAAGGTACGATCATGCGAATCTTTACAAAGAATTTTGCGAACATTATGAGGAATTGCAAAGTAAACAAAGGTATGCCATAATACCGGATTTTTTAAAGAACGAAAAGGACGATAAGGAACTCGTACGATCTGACGATCGAACTGATGAAAATTCGATTGATAAAAGGGCATTGATCGAAGATATTACGGAACAATCGACGAATTTATTCGAGCTCGAGGATAAAAAGAATTTTGAAGAAATGTGAACAATTTTCGCGTTTTTTTTTTTTTTCTCTTTTTTCTTGTTTCGCTTCGCTTTTTTCTCTCCTTTTGCTTTAATCAATTATATCTCTTATTAGTTTAATTTGTGTGATCATTGGTTTTTTTTTTAAACAATAAATATATATATATATCCTTTGTGATACAAAGACATTTGGAAATTTTTTTTTTCATTTCTTCGAATTACAACAACAAATTTAACAATAAAAGCGGACGATAAAATTTTAGGTAGTACCAAAAAAAACGGGCCTCCTGCTACGTACAATTTATTTTTCTTTTTTTTTCTTTTACCTTTTTTTCTTTTGCTGATTTTCCTTTCTTTGCTTTGTGTTTTTTGTTTTTTTTTTCGTTCACACTCACATCGATAATATAACGATGAGAATAATGATGATAATAATGATAATAATAATAATAATAATAATAATAATAATAATAATAATAATAATAATAATAATAATAATAATAAAATTAAGAAATAATAATACGTCGATAATAATAACAATGATGATAATGATAACGATATAATAATGATGAGGAATGAAACGAATGTTTGTACTCGATTGTAATAATTCATTAATCATTATGTATAATACCAATCGTTTGAAAACAAACGATAATTATTTCGCTTATTACATATATACATACATTAAATATATGTATATGTATATTTAATATATGTATATATGTAATAAGACAATGGAATGGAAAAAAAATGATGGATTTTCTTCATTCGTATTTAATAAGATCGATTATTTCTCTTTCGATATTTCAAAACGTTCGAAAGCTTTCCGATTTATTTGTCATGTATTAGTGCAAATATACATAATATATATATATATATATATTTATATATATATATATATATATATATATATATATATAAATATAATATGTGGGTAATACACGTGTTTGTGTTACGTATATATATATATATATATATATATATATATATATGTACGTATATATAACCATAGGCATGTACATTTTATACGCGTGCCTACGAATTATACGCGTGCGTACAAATTATACGCGTGTGTACGATCAATACGCGTGCATTTAATTATAATGCGTATGCGTTATTTATGAGTGTATCGACACATCTCATTTTTTTGTTGCTATCGCTTACTCTCTTATTCTCCATAGGATGTAAAGAAAACGTATCTATTATAATACGTGTTTCAATGTCGCTAGATTATGTTAGTTACAATGATAGATCTTTAAATGTTCACTTACACACTACTTTATCGCAATTCAAAAAAATGAATATTCATTTGCTTCTCCTTTCGTTTATTCATATTCTCATTATTCATTCTCTCTCTCTCTCTCTCTCTGTCTCTCTTGCACTCAAATACACAATCAGCTGTAAATTATTCTTTGAGATTAGATCGAATGTTATCGAAGTATCTTTCGTCGAAATAATGAAATTAAATAATTTTAATTATTTATCTCTCGTTCAATTATCATTTTTCTTTCTTTCTCTCTCTCTCTCTCTCTCTCTCTCTCTCTCTCTCTCTCTCTCTCTCTTTCTCTCTATTTCTCCTTTTATATCATTTTCTTCAACGTTACGTTTCATTTCATACTCACTTTTTAAATATCCTTTAACATCGCTCTTGCATCTTTCGATTCACATTTACAAATAAATTAATAAAATTTATTTCTTCTCTTAATCATAAACTCAGGTTGCAAATTCATTCAATTGCAGATGAAAGGTATATTTTTTGTTCTATAGATATTTTGACATTTTGAATACGAATTATTTAAAAATTATTTTTTTGTCATGGCAAACGTAGAAAAAGATAACCATATACATATATATATATATATTTTTTTTTTTTCTTGAGAAACAATTTTTTTTATTGTTACGACATGACACAGATTGAAAAGCGAATATATTTATTTGCAAGAAATAATTTGTCCGTTAATAATTGAAAAATTATTAAAAATTATTATGGATATGAATTGTTTCTAAATAATCTTTTCTTTTTCTCACGAGATACACGAATTAAAAAAGTAAGTACGTATAGATATTCATGATGAATAATATTTATGTATATAAGATTACAAAATTGTAATAAAATAATGCGTTTGACAAAAGAAAGAAAATGTTCGAGTGAAAATTTCTTTACACGAATCAAGCTCGTGCAATTTTCGTAACGATCGATTAAAATTTTCTCGATATTTGGAAATTCACAATCGTGACACGTCTATCTGACCCTTCTTTCTCACTCGTAAGATTTGACAAGCATTGCGTTTCGATAATTCGCAAATTGTGTCGTTAACTTTACTACAAAGAATATGGACACGAAGTTTATAACACGTTTGCGATCAAAGGATTTATCTAAAAATAAACTTAACCAAAGCTCGATTATGAAAACTCTATCTCCCTCTCTCTCCCGCTCTCTCTCTCTGCTTTTATAGTAGATAATTTCCATTTCCTCCGTTTGTACTTATATCAGACTAGTGCGGTATAATTCAATTGATTCTCTTTTGATAATATCACAATACCACTCTTTTAATATTCCAACAGGTCGAATCGATTCTTTATCTTTTTTTTTTCCCTTTCCTCCTTTTTTCTCTCTTTTTTTTTTTTTTTTTTTTTTTTTACCGAACAGAGAGCGAATGATAATAAGAGTGTCGAACGAACAAAGAGTCGAACGAACGAACGAGAGAGAGAGAGAGAGAGAGAGAGAGAATGATGTCGAAGGATAAATGGAAAAGATCATTTTCTTATGTGGTGTACACGTTGGAATAATTTGCATGTAAGAAGATTTATGAGATTAGAGAAAAGAAAATATGAGATGCGTGTCTTTATTCGAACACAAGACAAAAGCAGAGATAAGGATAAAAATAAAGAAAGAAAGAAAAAGTGAGAGAGAGAGAAAAAGCGAGAGAGAGAGAAAAAGCGAGAGAGAGAGAGAGAAGGAAGAATGGATACGAGTTTGACACAAAATAATGACATTTTTCTTCTTCCTCTTTTTTTTTCGATACTTAAAATTGGATTATTTAGGCTAATCCAATCGATTGTTATATCCTTATCGTTAATATTATATTATTATAATATTATAATTAATCATTATTAATTATTATCTTTAATAATAATAATAATGACCATTATCATTATAGTTATATACTATTTTAATATGTTATTACATAATTACGAACACGCACCCACACACGCACGCACGCACACGCACACGCACACATACACACACACACACACACATGTATATTTATATGCATTGCATATATAAAAAAGTGATGAAATCTTTGTAACTATCTATTGATTAATAGCGAGAACTAGAGCGTCATTGTTCGATTTCAATTTTCTTTGAATTTTTTATATTGCGTTCTTAAACCTTTACGATTTTTTTCTTTTATCCTCTTCTCCTTCTTTTTCATTTTAATCTTTTTCCGCTCTTTTTATCTCTTATCTTCCACTTCATCGGATCTAACGCCGAACCCACACCAACTGTTCGTCTACTGCAATATATTTATTATTATTTTATAAATAAATAAATAAATATATATATATATATATATATATATATATATATATTATAGCGAACGATAATCGTCTAGTAACGAAAGGATATCCATTCGGTGATGAGTACGAAAAGAGGGTGAAATCGTAATAGGGGTTGAAGAGATATAGGAGAGAAATTATTGACCAATTCAAAGTTCTTCTGTACGCGACGTTTTTAAAACAATCGTTAGAAATTCATCGAATATATATATATACAGCAAGATAAACGAACAGAATGAATTAATTATTTGGCCGTAAATAAAGCTAACTAATTATTATCATCATTATCTCGTTATATACATATATATATATATATATATATATATATATATCAATGAATAAATTGTTAGAGAGATCCAATAAGGTGGATACGTAGAGACAATTCTATTCGTAAATAATAATCAATCCGCAAATGGTTTTTTTTTTTTATCAAATTTGAGAGTAACACATATCCGAAATTAAATAAGTACGTATATAATCATGAAAATTTATATCTTATATATGTACTTATGTATGTATATGTAAATAGTTAACGTACTACTGCAATTTTTCTTTTTTTTTTTTTTCCTTTTTCTTTTTCTTCCTCCTTTTTTTTCTTTAACATTCGCCATCGGATATTAAATTTTTGAAAGGGTGTCGTTGAAATAGACATTAGTTCCCGACAAATTCTCCGTCCTTTCATCGATTTAAATCGTGTCGCGAAAACTTTAATGTAGTATTCCCTTACGTCAATTCCCTCCCTCCTTTCCTCCCTCCCTTCTCCTTCTACTTTTTCCACAATTTTCTTCTCTTTCTCCTAATCCTTCGTCGTCCATCATTTTATTTACGACATCTTCTTTTCGTTTGTCTTCTAACGTTCTATCATCCTTACCCTTCGTAACTCTTCTTATCGGCATCTATCACCACCCTCTTCTTGCCTTCAACCCCCCATCCCCTCACTTCCCCAAGAACTTCCAAAAGAAACTTTTTCATCTACGAAACAATTCAACGAGAATTTGAATACAATTTCGATCAAATTTGGAAGGAGAGGGGGACGGGGTGGAGCAAGGAAGTGACTCTCGATAAGAATACGGAAGATTCTACGAATCGACGATAATGATAATCGAACGAATAACGAAGGGGAAAGAGAAAGAGAGAGAGAGAGAGAGAGAGAGAGAGAGAGAGAGAAGACGGAAGAATTCGTGTGAATTAATTATTGAATGAATGAATGAATGAATGAATGAATGAATGAATGAATGAAAGAAAGAATAATGAATGTGATAGTAATGAGAAAATAAAAAAGTAAACAATTAACAAACCCTCTACAATTTAAATCTATATTTTTTCTGCTCTATAAACAAAATTTATTTAATTTCAAATGTATACTTGCAAAAGTATACATTCAAATTCTGTTTAAACAAAAAATTATATTATCATCAAATTTATATTCGACGAGATATAAATATATTCTGTCGATTGAAGAAAATTTATATTATTAGAAACTTTGTACTTGACGAAATATAAATTTAATCCTTTTGCCAAACGAAATTCGTATAATTACAAGTTTATAC